TCCACTCACCTCAGCCTCCCAAAGGTGCGGGATTACAGGCTGAACCACTGAGCCCGGCTCATTTACCCAATGTTTAAATTGAGTTGTCATTTTGTTGTAGAGCTATAAAAATTCCTTGTATATTCCAGATGTTAGACCTTCATCAGATATATGATTTGCAGAAACTTTCTCCCATTCTGTAGGTTGCTTTTCATTTTCTTGATAGTGCTCTTTGATACACAAAAGTTCTCCATTTTGAAGTCAAATTTATCTGTTTTTCCTTTGGTTGTTTGCATTTTGGTGACATATTTAAGAAACCATTGCCTAATCTCAAGCTATGAAGTTTTACACTTATGTTTTCTTCTGTGAGTTTTATAGTTTTAGCTCTTAATTTAGGTTTGTAGTTCATGTTGAGTTAATTTTTGTATGTAGTTTAAGGTAGGGGTCCAACTTCATTCATTTGCTTGTGAATATCAAGTTGTCTCAGCTAGCACTATTTAGAAAGACTATTGAATGGTGTTGGTAACCTTGTTGAAAACTAATTGACCATAGATAATATGGGTTTATTTTTGGATTCTCAGTTTGAATCCATTGGTCTGTATGTCTGTCCTTATGCCAGTACGACACTGTCTTGACTACTGTAGGTTTGTATTAAGTTTTGAAATAAGTAAATGTGAGTCTTCCATCTATGTTCTTCTTCAAAGTTTTTCTGACTAGTCAAGATCCCTTGCATTTTAATGAATTTTTTTGTTGAAATGTAACTTGAGTAAATATAAATTTAAAAAATCTAGATTCCTTGTGCTTATATAACTACCAAACTAAAATAAATTTATAAGTTAAATGAAAATACATCTACAAAACTATTAACATGGAGATTAATATAATTTATGTGATAGTGGAGGCTGTTTCTTTGAAATAGAATTGTAACTTTAAGGTGAATATGGAGATCATTACAGGTTTGTTGGGTTTGGCGTGCTGGTACTGTTGCATGCTGGGTGATGATGTACTTTTCCTTATCACGTTTTCTATTTGAATGACTAGGAAGCTTCACTTTATATAATAATTGTGACATTATTTATCTTCATATGGTATTTTTTCCCAACAACTTATTATGAAAATTTTTAGGTAGACAGCAAAATGAATATATGTATACCCCCACCTAGATTTGATTTGCATTTTACTATACTTGTTTTATATGATTTACATTTAAATCTTCCTCTCATCTCATTAGCCCACTAATATAAACTTGGACATTAACTTTTTTGGCAATATTCATCACTAAATATGAGCCAAAATATGCCTGCACTAATTTTTTTGCTTATTATAAAATGAAAATACAAAAATAATTCTTGTTTGGTTTTTGTTTGTTTTTTGTTTTGAGTTGAAGTCTCACTCAGTCGCCCAGACTGGAGTGCAGTGGCCACTCCCGGCCACCGCAGCCTCGACCTGCTGGGCTCCGGCGATCCTTCCGCCTCAGCCTTCCAAGTAGCTGGAACTACAGGCGCACGCTACCACACCCGGCTAATTTTTTGATTTATCGTAGAGATGAGGTCTCACCAAGTTGCCCAAGCGGGTCTCGAATCCATGGGCTCAGGCAATCCACTCACCTCAGCCTCCCAAGGCGCCGGATTACAGGCTGAGCCACCGAATCCGGTTACAAAAATAATTCTTATACAGAACTCATAGACTGAGAAACTAATATAGTTCAGGGCTCTGTTTTGAGATTAGATTTTCATAAATTGGGAAAGAGGGATCTGTGTGAGCCCAGCTGGTACCCTTTGGGGTGGTATAAGTTTCTGTCTCATGCCTAGGATCTTGACTTGGCATGCTTTTGTGACACAAGGTATAAATGACAGTGATAAATAAAGAATTATTCCTCTGCTTGCTGCTTCTGTGAACACTTATATCAGTTATGTGATTAAGAAAATTTTTTTGACCCCTTTTTTTCCTGAGGTCGTCCTGGAAGTTACTTAATCCAGTTCATTTCACTTGAAGTTGAACCTTTATTGAAGTATTATTTGGACCAACTATTGGGCTAGACTGGTGGTTCTCAACAGGAGAAGGGGAGTGATTTTGTCCCTCAGAGAACATTTGG